TTATCTTTATGCATCATCCTTGGTTGGAGTATCAGTCTCAGAAAGGACTCCAGTGCTCAGATTTTTTTGGATCTGTTGCTCTCCCTGTGAAGCTCCTGTCCCCTCCAGGTCTTTTTATCCCCCCCCCTTCTTTCATAAGATTCCCTGCACTCTGCCCAAAGTTTGGCTATGAGTCTCAGCATCTGCTTTGATACACTGCTGTGTAGAGTCTTTCTGAGGCTCTCTGTGGTAGGCTCCTGTCCTGTTCCCTGTTTTCTCCCTCTTCCATTGTCTGTCCCATTTGCCTTTCTGAATGAAGATTGAGCATCTTACCCAGGGTCCTCCTTCTTCCTTAGCTTCTTTAGGTGTACAGATTTTAGTATGTTTATCCTCTATTATATGTCTAATATCCACTTATAAGTGAGTATATACCATGTGTGTCTTTCTGCTTCTGGGATACCTCACTCAGGATGATCTTTTCTAGTTCCCACCATTTGCCTGCCAATTTCATGATTTCCTTGTTTTTAATTGCTGAGCAGTGTTCCATTGTGTAAATGTACCACAATTTCTGTATCCATTCCACAGTTGAGGGACATCTAGGTTGTTTGCAGATTCTGGCTATTATGAATAAAACTGGAGACAACTTCCTGAACAGAACAACAACAGCACAGGCTCTCAGATCAATAATCAATAAATGGGACTTCATGAAACTTAAAACCTTCTGTAAAGCAAAGGACACTATTTTCAGAAGAAAAGGACAGCCTACAGACAGGGAAAGGATCTTTACCAACCCTACATTTGACAGAGGGCTACTATCCTGAATATATAAGGAACTCAAGAAGTTAAACACCAACAAATCAAGTAACCCAATTAAAAAATCTGGTACAGAGCTGAACAGAGAATTCTCACTAGAGGAATACTGAATGGCAGAAAACACTTAAAGAAATGTTCAATGTCCTTAGTCATCAGGGAAATGCAATTGTTAGCCATCAGAGAGATGCAAATCAAAAGGACCCTGAGACTTCACCTTATACCCATCAGAATGGCCAAGATGAAAAACTCAAGTGACAACACATGCTGGAGAGGATGTGGAGGAAGGGGAACCCTCCTCCATTGCTGGTGGGAATGTAAACTTGTACAACCACTCTGGAAAGCAATCTGGCACTTCCTCAGACAATTAGGATTAGCGCTTCCTCAAGATTCAGCTATACCACTCCCAGGCATGTATCCAACATTTGCTCTTGTATACAACAACGACATTTGCTCAACCATGTTGATTTAAAATTTAATTCCTATTTTACGTGCATGGGTGTTTTGTATGTATGTCTATGTACCACGTGTGTGTGGTGCCTGCTGAAGCCAGAAAAGGCTATCAGGTTCCTGGAACTGTTATGGAAGGGTTTGATAGATGCTGGTTACAAACCTGAGTCTCCTGGAAAAACAGCACTTTCACTGAGCCATTTCTCTAGTCTTTGGTTTTCATTGATTTTAAAATTAATGTTATATATTACATTAATTTAAAATATTCCACCTGTAGTATATATTAATGCATTATTGTGTATCATCTAAGAATTACACTGAAGACCTCTGAGATAGGATCTTGGTCTTGTACCAAATAACTTTAAAAAAACTTCGTAATAAATTTTCTTTCTAAATAAATTGATTTCTTCTTCAAGATGGAGAGGGAATTGTTTTGAGCCAATTACTTATTGGTACTAATACTGAATAGTCTTACATCGCTGCTTTAGTAGGCCATGAGATCACATGCAAGTCTTTAGAAAGCTTTAAGTGGATTCTGCAACTTGGATTCATCTTTAAATTTAGGGAAAATGGAGAGAAGCTGAGCATCTGGTCAGTGTGACCCAGAGTTTTCTGTGCAGTGGGGTGTCATAGAGGAGCCATGCTTATTTTCAGAAGCACACTGTGATAAAACCTGGCCAAACCTCCCAGGGAAACCATGCAGCTCTCTAATAGTTTTCTGGAATGGTCCTGAAATTAGTGACATAGAAGGTGATTCTGACTTGTTGATGCTCTAGCTATTTGAAAGAGGTATCCTTTTGAAATAAATTATGAAATTTGGTAACTTTTATCCACCAGCAAATAAATATCTTTTGTCATTTTATTAACTATGAAACTTATACATTGGAGTGATAAATAATAAGAACCATAAAAAGATTCTTGGCTCTTCTAACTTGGTATTACAGTGTCTCTTAATTGGTTTGTTCAGCTTTTTTCTTATGAGAGGATAACATGTACATGAATTCAAGTGTCTGAGTATTATATAGTATTCTCTTGTCATCTAAGAGCACCCCTGAGGGCTAAAAAATCTAAGAAAAACACTGTGTGATTTTATTAAATTTATATAGTTACCTGCATTTAGAATATTAATATTTAGATAAAATCCTATCCATTAAAATCATGGCAGGCCATGCGAGATGAAACTAGCTAGACATCCACGAACAGATGACTGGAGATAGAAAGTTTAGTATATATGCACAATGACGTTTTTTAAATCATAAGGAAAAATAAATCATGACATATGTAGGAAATATACATTACTAGAGATCATATCTTAACCAAAGGAAGACACAGAAAGACAAATATTACATGTTTTCTTTCATATGTGGAATCTATATTTACTTTTTTGAGTACATTGATTCTCAACCTTCCTAATGCTGCAAGTCTTTAATATAGTTCCTCATGTTTTGGTGACCCCAATAATAAAATTATTTTTGTTGCTACCTCATAACTGTAATTTTGCTACTGTTATTAATTATAATGTAAATATTTTTGGAGATAGAGGTTTGCTAAAGGGTCATGACCCACAGGTTGAGAGCTGCTGTTTAGTATGTGATGAAAATAGAAAGGAGCCTGTAAGAAAGGAAAAATATACCTCAAATGAGCATGGAAGAGGGCATCCTAGATTGCATGTGACATAGAGGCAGAGGGAGGACTATTTGAAGAGAAAGTTTAATGACCTGAATGCATAAATAGGACTTATTATTTTGAATTTTAACTTAAAATCAGTAAATATATGCAGATAGTTCAACTGACAGATCAAGAAAATTTTTGTTATTCTGGGCTGTGCAGGAAAAGTAGTTGAATAACAACAACAAATCTAACTTTTTTCCCCCGTATGATAAGATAGGGCAAATTAATTTATAAAAACAAGCAAATGCTCTAAAATGGGTATATAAATATGATGCATAATGTAGAATATCCTAAAGAGTAAAGTGTCTTTTTGCCCACAGGAAGCATAAGTTGTGTTAGTTCAGTGCATGATTGCCTGTGAAAAATTGTGGTTTAGCTAGTTTAGCAGATAGTAAAGATATAAAGACTTTCAGAGTCACTGATCCATAAAGTCCTGCGATGCTCATGACTGAATGCTTTCATGAAGGAATCACTAAGTTTTGAAGTAATTAACTTAGAAGGGAAATAATAAAATCATGCAACAATCTTCTTACTGTGTTCAGTTAGATATGAAAGAAACGAGAAAGATCAAAGACCTAGATCCGGCATTCTTTGCTGTTTTTGTTTTTGTTTGGAGCCTGAACATGTTTTGAAAAAATATTAAAATAATGTGTTTGTTTGCTGATAATTTCTAAAAATGTGAGCAAATTAATTTGTTTCTCCTTTGGAAATACCCAGCCAAAAGATAGAGTTAATGAAATTGGATGTTACCATGCTCCTTTTGTGTTCAGACTCTGAAATCAAAGTAGAAAATCTTTGGTGTCCTCCTTTTGGATACACTAACTTCCTGGAAATTTTTGCCACAGGGTTTTTTTTTTTTAATTCTTAATTTTTTTAATGGCACCAAATGTTCTGCAGCTCTGGACTCTCTGCTCTTTCTGGATGCAGTTTTCACCAGTCTTTTCAGTTATGTTAACAATTCATATCTACATTCTCTGTGTTTTCTTCCCTTTCTTGCTTTCTCTCTGTGCAAACAGCTCTTCACCAAGAGGAACAACACTGACCACTCCAAGTCCATCATTTGGCAGTGGCATCTGAGTTTTTATTTTTCTCTTACATTCCTTTCAGCTTTCAGTAAATCTCATTTCAGCTCTATCAAATCATGAGGTACTTTGTTAGATGACAAGGTCAGGATGGTGTTTCTTAGTCTTAAAGGCGATATATTATTAGTTTTCATATGCAGTACCATGAATATCTTGAAGTTAATTGTTAAAACAATCATAATTTATTACCTCATAATTTCTTAAGGAAAAAGCCTAAGGAAGGGTAGCCTAACTGGTGGATGGTTTCAGGAAATCTTAAGATTTCCTGAAATCTTAGGACTGAGGCTGTATCAAGGTTGGGGTCCTTTCCAAGGTTATACAAGTCAGAGCAGAAATCACTTGTGGTTGAGGACTGAAACTCCTGTTTTCTTGACTGTCAGCCAGGCATCACTCTTTAGCTTATAGAGGCCTCCTCTATGTAACAGGAATTATTTATTTCTTTCACAGTCTAGAGTCTTGCCTCTTTTGTTTAACTTTATTTATTTATTTTATTAATTACAGTTTATTCACTTTGTATCCCAGCTGTAGCCCCCTCACTGCTCATCCCCTCCCAAACCCACCCACCCTTCCTTTCCTCCTCCCATGCCCCTCCCCCAGTCCCTGATAGGGGAGGTCGTCCTCCCGTTCCATCTGACCCTAGGCTATCAGGTCTCATCATGAATGGCTACATTGTCATCCTCTGTGGCCTGGTAACATTGCTCCCCACTAAGGGGGAGGTGATCAAAGCATTCATGTCAGAGATAGTCCCTGTTCCCCTTACTAGGGAACACAGTTGGACACTGAACTGCCATGGGCTACGTCTGAGCAGGGGTTCTAGGTTATCTCCATGAATGGTCCTTGGATGGAGTATCAGTGTCAGAAAAGATCCCTGTGCTCAGATTTCTTGGTTCTGTTGCTCTCTTTATAGAGCTCATGTCCCCTCCAGATCTTTCTGTCTCCCCCTTCTTTCATAAGATTTCCTGCACTCAGCTCGGCTCGGGCGCGTCTCCCGTCTCCCGTACAGCCATGATGCCCAAGAGGAAGGTTAGAGCCGACAGAGCGGGGAAGGCGGAGCCCAAGCGCTGCTCGGCAAGGCTGACGGCCAAGCCCCCACCCGCCAAGGTGGACGCTAAGCCGAAGAAGGCCGGGGGGAAGAATAAATCATCAGACAAAAAAGTGCAAACAAAAGGGAAGAGGGGAGCAAAGGGCAAACAGGCTGAAGTGACTGACCAGCAAGCTGCAGATCTGCTTGCAGAAAATGGAGAGACGGAGAACCAGAGTCCAGCCTCTGAAGGAGAAGAGAAAGAAGCCAAGTCCGACTAACCATCCATCCTGTCTGTCAGTGGTCCTTGCCTCCCTTCTTGTATAATCCAGAGGAATATTTTTATCAGCTATTTTGTAAATGCGAGTTTTTTAGTAGCTCTAGAAACATTTTTAAGAGGTGGGGGAGTCCCACCTCATCCCATTTTTTAAGTGTAAATGATTTTTTAAGAGGTTAAATCATTTGCTGGTTGTTTATTTTTTGTACAACCAGAAAATAGCAGGATACTGAATCAGGAGAGGCTGTGACTGTCTCGGGGGTCACCATAACATTCCGTAGAGGGGCTAGTTTTATATCCTACAACACAAAGCATACTAAACAGCAATTTGGAGTCTCCGTCTTGCATTTGTGTCTGGAATATTTTCAGTTATATCCGGTCTCGTTCGTGTTTCCTAAGAAAACCACTCCCTGGCCCTTGCCCTGTCAGAACGTAACGTCTCTGGTCATGGCCGTCCATTTTCCTAACAATGGTGATAATGTGCTGTGAAAGATGAAAATGCTGAAGGTATTATATGTGGCATAAAATTGTGGGTCAGTAGAATTGAGGATTATGAATATTTGATTGTTATGTGAGGTCTTAAGGAAAACTTGTCAAATTTGAGTCCTGAACCTCACTGTAGTAAGTTCAAAGAGACTATATGTGGCTCTTCATTTAGGTACGTGAACACAGTCTGTGGCTCTTCATTTGAGGATGTGAACACAGTGTGTGGCTTCAAAGCTTGGGTACTTGTGTTAAGAATTGAAGTGTCTTGTGTACTCTGCTCCTAAGCCAATAAAAATCTCAGTTGTGAAAGAGTAAAAAAAAAAAAAAAGATTCCCTGCACTCTGCCCATAGTTTGGCTATGAGTCTCAGCATCTGCTTTGATACCCTACCCTGCTGGGTACAGTCTTTCAGAGGCGCTCTGTGGTAAGTTCCTGTCCTATTCCCTGTTTTCTCCCTCTTCTGATGTCCATCCTATTTGCCTTTCTGAATGAAGATTGAGCATCTTACCCAGGGTCCTCTTTAATGATCGCAGGAGACCCCCTTTCCTCTTTGAATGACTTCTCAGTGATTACTTAAAACACTTCCAGAGTAATCTCCCTTTTTCACTTAAAGCCAACACATTAGGGGTTACATCTGCAAAATTCCTTCAGCTTTATTGTGTAACATAGTGTTACGTGAGAGTGAAATCCATCACAAACACAGTCCTGTCATATTTTACGGGACCCCTGGAAAGACAGGTTCATCTTACAGGGTGACTTAGAGTTCTGCTTTGTGCATGGCATGGGTGTGTTTCTACACTGAAGTAGGGTAGAAGTGCAGGTGTGTCAGCAGTGACTCACAGTTTTGTGTCTTTGTAGGTATGCTAGGTCTTTGGCTGCCATCTGCCTTCATTATGGTGTAATAGTCAATGTACCTCAGTAATTACTTTATTCTTAAAAAATGTAGGTTTCTGTTCAACAACAAAATAAACATTCTAAAAGGTTTTTGAAATTACCATCAAAACATGAAAATATGAAAATATTTAGACACAGAGACATATCTTTATTTAAAGGTAACTTCCAATAATCTGGAACTCCATATAACTTAACATGCCTCCATATGGGAGAATCTGATCTCTAGAAACAGAGTGCTTCATCTGTTTGTCCTCCATGGCTGTTCTGTTTATGTCCCCATTAAACATACAGATGATCTCAGCAAACCCAGGAATAAAACCAAGCTGCAAGCAGAGTAACTATATTGATATTCTCAAAACTGAGATACAAAAGAGCATTCCAGCCGAATAAACAGACTGAAACTGGCAAGACAAGTTTGGACAAAGACAGTTTACCCTGCTTGCTGTGTTTTCTGTGGAAGAAGAGTTGTATCAGGTACAAGTTGGTGTCTAAATGGCCCAGCATGCCTGTTAGGACTGTTGAAAAGTCTTAGATACGTTGGCTAGCACTGAGTTCTGAAGGGGTCAACAGTGGAATGAGCTGCCAGCAGAAGCTCTTGGCCCGCTTTAAAGTGAGGGTGGCAGCAACATAGCTCCATCTCATACTCACCAGAACAAGCAAAGAGCTTCTGTTGTCTTTTCCATTTTGCACTTATCTCAAACAATTTCTCAAAGTTTGAGGACATTTTAGATACCTGTTTAGACATTCTCATTTTTCCTATTTTACTTACTAAATATAAACCATCCTATGTTTATATTATTAATTTGTATCAGCATGCATGTTGATGGATACAGTTTACAAGTTATATCTGTCCAGTTTTGCATGGTTATATAAACTTGAGTGACAAGGCTTTAAAAACGATTATCCTTGCTGGATGTGGTGGTGCATGCCTGTAATCCCAGCAGTCAGCTAGACAGAGGCAGGCAAATCTCTGCGAGTTTGAGGCCAGCCTGGTCTACAGTGTGAGTCCAGGATGCCAAGGTTACACAGAGAAATTCTGTCTCTAAAGAAAAAAAAAAGATTATGCTTTTATTCATTTATCTTTTGTGTGTGGGTGCGCATGTGCCATAGTAAATACATGGAGGTCACAGTAGTAAGCAGATTTTTTTTTTCTCTCCTTTCCATATTGTGGACCCTCAGGATCAAACTCAGATGTCATGATTGGTAGCAAGAACCATTTTTTTTTTCTGAGCTGTAACACTGCCCCTTATATGACTAGTCGTTGCTATTTCTTGGCTTTGATTCAAGCTTCTGAGTTCTTCAATATGGTTAAGTATCATAAAGATGAAAAGTACCATCCCCACACCCTTCCACCCATTCTCCTCTCTACCCCTTCCACTTGTCCCTTCCTTCTCTACCCTTCCACCTGCCCCTCCCCTCTCTATCCCTTCCATCTATCAATCTAGTTTTTATACCCTTCCACTTGCCCACCTCTTCATTCTTTGTGATAAGAATGTTTCTGGCTGCCACCAGGGACCATATTGGTGGCCCATGTTGTCCCAGAGGCTGTTGATGTCCTTGGCCTGTGCTGCTGCTGCTGGCTATGATGTCCATACTGTGGCAGGGCTCTGTGTTGATGTCCATGGTGCATACTGCCGCCAGAGACCATGCTGAGGTCTGTGGCATGTGCTGACGAACCAAGTGGAAGTCCATGCTCCCACTGACTATAAAGGGCAAAGGATCTACTTCTGCATTGTATTGATGGTTGCAGCCTCACAGTTAAGAAAGAGGACATGGAAGGCCTCTGTGACAATCCCTACCCCCACCCCTCCAAAATAACAGCTTAGACAGCTGTCGGAGAGGACTCTTAAAAATTGTGATAAGGATGCTGAAGTGAAGCTCTACACAATTGCTGACTTCTGGTTGGGATGTCGGTAAAGAAGAACTCAGTTTAAGGGGATAGCTACTGGGAGTTTGATCATGCTCCAGTGAGTTTATGGGCAACAGAAATTGGACTTGTTCCTTCCTTCCTTCCTTCCTTCCTTCCTTCCTTCCTTCCTTCCTTCCTTCCTTCCTTCCTTCCT